CCGTGGTAATGATTTGCGACCCGCGTCTGGTATAGTCACACGACAACTGGGTCAAGCCATGGTGGAAATTACCGACTTGAATGATGCTACTGTGCACAAACGACACGTGGACCAAATCCACTTCAAACCATCCACGGACCAGCGACATCAAGAGACAAGCGAGGGAGACAATCAGTTTCATACCGCATCAACACAACCGACGGAGCCGCATCTGTCAGATGTGCAGAAACAACCAATCGAAACACAAGGACACCACCAGGAACAGGCGGAGCCAACGAATGCAGTCCGCAGGTTTAGCCGTCAGGCGAGCCAGATTGATGAGGCACTCTTGAGGGAAGAGAGTTGTGGTGATCCAGGCTTCCGTGACCGCAATCCATGCACGACTAGGCACAGTTTCATNACAAGACATCCGAGTTAGCACATATGATACGTCGGTGCAAACGGTTACGTGATTATAGGATGCTCATTCAACCAATCATATGGACTAGTACATTCTATAAAACTTCTGTCGTTGGCAGCGAGTTTCAAGAGCGAAATACACGTACCGAGATACAGTGTTACCGTGCTCTCAGTATGGGACGCTGCCTCTCCGGTTTCATGGAGTGGCCGCGCAGTGGTGACGGAGTGGCCATTGAGAACAGATGCCTGTTAGGGTGCCCCTGAACGTTGTGTGTCCCTCAAGAGGATCGGGTCGCCCCTTACCCTCCTTTACTTCATGCTGTACAAGTTGAGTGAACGGGGTCTATCCGGGTAAGGTGTGCATGACAAGCGCTGTACTCGTTTGGTTACTTTCCGTTGTGTCCATTCTATGGCGTTGGCATCCCTTCTATGCAGCGGTGGGCACGACTGGATGTTGATTTCTAGATGTGGCCTAATGAACGCAGCAAAATTCTTGGGGAAGGACTCTGGTGTGAATTTCCCAAAAGTCTGCTTTGTTGGTTGAGTTTGAACATTGCCCTCCCGGCCAGTGTGTTGCACTTAGTTTCCTGGTACATATCATCGGTAATGACTGTGCCCAGGTTCCTTTTGTGCATGACCCTCTGCAATGTTCCACCTCCCAACGAGAACTCAGTTTGTACGATGCCTTGCAATGTGCACAACCTAGCATTTGTCAGAGTTGAACGGCAACCCATTTGCGACCGACCTTGTAAAAAGCCTGTCTGGGTTCTCTTGCAGGTTGCACTTATGCAACAGGTTTTGAATTTCCCGGCAGATCTTAACATCGTTTGCATACATCAGTAGGTTTGATTGTATGCCTACAGGGAGATTGTTCATAAATTTTGTGAACAGCTGCTCTCCGGACAGAAAGTAACGAACTTTGTCGAAGGTTTTGGAAAAATCTAACGTGACTAAGTCCAGTTGCATCCCCCTGTCCGCAGCACACTACTCCATGGTTTCAAGGAGGTTGGTTTTGCAGGATCGCTTCCCACAAAACCTGTGCGGGGTATCATGCAAGCAACGATCCTGCTCGACAAACTCATTGATTTTATCATCAATGAGTCCCTCCATTACCTCTGAGGCCACTGAGAGCAAGGCTAACGCACGGTAGTTGTTTGGGTGAGTTTGGTCCACCGACATGAATAAAGAAGAGACCACGGCTGTCTTCCACTCGTCCAGGACCGCGCCAAATCTCATAGAGTTGTTGAACAGTCTGCTTAGGGGTACTGCTAACTGCTCTAAACACATCTGAGGTAGGATGAGTGGTATCTCGTCAAGTTCAGGTGACCTTTCAGCTACGTGACTTGCCAGTTTTAGTCCCATCTGCGCAAGGGAGAACGACACAGATTCCATGAACTTGCTGGGTATGAGGTCCACTGCGGGAATACCGCTTCCGTCTGTCCGACTAACAAGTTCTGAGCAGAATACCGTGGAGTAGTACACAGCCAGGGTGTTACCTGCAGCCTTGTTGCCATCCGTAAGTGATCCATCCGCACAATGGATGTCTGTGATCCCGGGTTTCGCCTGGGTCACAAAGGAGATGTCCCTCTGGAAACTCCTCGGTTCGCAATGACCCGATTGAAGAACTGCCTCTGGTGCTCACTGGTGTCTTGCTTTCTTTTTGGATTAGTGTTTGCGTAATTCAACGTAGGCCTCGTAATCCTGGGAGCTCTGGGACCATTGGTATTGGTTCCACGCGCGTCTTTTCCGTGCCAAGGTCTAAAATGTACGGTGACGCAGTCGCCGTATTGGTTCAAATAGTCAAACCTGTGTGCGTGGTACAAACCTACGAGTGGCCTCGGCGAGGATCACCATCACTTCGTTCCAATGATCGCCGAGGCAAAAATCATTCATGATGGCGCTTCAAAGGAGGATCACTGGGTGCGGAACGCCGAAAAACATTTACTCCGACAACGGTTCATAATTCATGTCGGCGTCTAATAGCTAACCCGAGTCGACCATGGCAAACCACATCAGCGACTGAACTTCCAGAATATCCGTTGCCATTTCAACCCGCCGTAGCCACCTATAGGGTGGAGTTTGGGAACGTATGATAAAGTCGGTGAGAAGGATGCTATTGACAGTGTGCAATCAACAACCCATCGACGATGAGACCCTGAGCACGGCCCTGATCGAAGTAGAGCGCATATTAAACAATAGGCCTTTCAAACTAGTCGCGAGTGAAGCCACGGGTCTCGCACTTACGCCAAACGACTTGATTGTTTTGAGACCGAATTACGGACTGACAGTAACACAAAATATTACTCGAGCGGTTGGAAGCAAGCCCCTAGCGGGAGTTTTCTGGAAGCGGTGGGTCCGAGAGTACTTGCCTACTCTACAGGCACGACAGAAGTGGATACTCAGAGAAAGAAGCTTTCGAGTTGGTTACATAGTGTTGCTGGCGGATGGACGATTGCAGCGAGATGAATGGCTCATGGCGGTCGCCAAGGAATGCCTCCCGGATAAAGACGGTCTCATACGCACGGTTAAAGTGAAAACGGCAGCCGGCGAAATCCTGTGAGAAATCCGCCAAATCTGCTACCTGGAACCGACCGTGAACCCAAGCAGCTGAGTAATCCTCCGGGTAAGCGAGGGAGGCGCTGGGTCATGGAAAACGGCTTGTGGCTAACCTCCTGAGCTGGCGGAGACGGATTAGACGACGATAGGCTCGATAGAATGGCAAAACGACTTTTCCGTAATCGAAATGATTCTGGTGTCGTTTTCATTGGATTTACTTGGATCAACTCCGTGGCACATGCTAACTAGGTTAGGTGACTAACGTGTAGTCAGTACCACATCAAAGCGACCAACGCCTAAATAACTTCAATAATATAAGCCAGGCAATTTGTTTACAGTGAAGTTCCGAATATTATTATTCCTCGTTCACAGAAGTCAGTCCATTTGTATCGATCCTTGAAACACTTTACTTAGGGAGGTTCGTTCTTTGAAAACGACAAACCTCAACAACCTGAGGCATTTCCTCCAAGCCTACACCCTTCAAACTAATTAGTTAAGTGATATAGACCTCCTGAGTAGCACAGTAGAGCAGGGTATCTGCACAGTCAATCGCCTGTTAGGCTTAGATACTAAGGGTGAGAATTTCCCTGTGTCCGCGTTACGCGAGGAAGGATTTTACCGGGCAGTGTGTTGATCAGTCTGTGAAAATCCGTAAAGCAAATTTCACATTCCATTCACTTAACACTATTCGTCTCATACAAACATAAACAACCTGATTCAGAAACGGTCAATCCTCTTCACTGCTGGTTGTTGCCATACCAGGTGATAGTCACCTCACAGACACAATTAAACTGAATCGCCTTTTGGACAAGAGTGACCACATCGTGCTGTCTGTATTAATCGATCTGTGAAAATCCTTCCCGTAAAGCCCAGCCATTCCACTTTGGTTCCACATTTCGTAAATTTCACGCTCCATTCGCCTAACACCATCCATCTCATACATACATAAACATTTGACGTTCCACCTCCCTTGGATATTCACAAATCGATCCCACTATCTGACTTTGTTTGTTTTACTGCTCCATTCCTACCTTATTTGTTTTAAGCGCGACATGACCGCTCAAATTTGATTCATTCGAGTGCAGCGTGACGGTGAACGTGCTTTTCTTATCCAGACTCTTTTTCCTCCGTTCAGATTTATTGAATTACGCTCACAGTAACACTTCGCTCTTGTTTTTAAGTTGTTTCGCGATCACTTTGAGATTTGTACATATTTTATTTGCTTATTTGATTGCTTAGTAATGCACCACCTTATAACCGTGCTGGATTATTCGTTTTATTGACGTTTTGGGATTTGAAGTCGGCTACGCGTTGCTCATCGATCTATTCGAGAGGCGTGCTCATCACGAGCCTTATTGGCTGCTTTCAAACATTGTGTTTTGGGCTTAAATTCTTTCGTGAGAATGACACTCAAGTCCTTAACTGCATCCGTGTGCTACAGTGCCATCTGCCGGTTCCGAACGGTGTCGGCTCTTGCGATTAAGACCTGACACCTCTGGAGATTTAGTGGTGAGTACCACTGAAGTGACCATTGTCTAACTGCTTCTACATCGCATTCTAGATTTGTTCCGGCTAATTTCACATCGTCCGCGAACATCAAACAGGGATTTTGGAGATCCCGAGTCAATTTGTTGATGTAAATTGGAAAATGTAGTGGTCCTAGAACTGATCATTGAGGCACCCTACTTGTTGTTCTTGTAGGTTTGCTCAGATGGTCGTTGACCTTCATACAGAACGAGCGATGACCGAGGAACTGCACGACCCAATTTCTCACTACCCCATATATTCATGCATCTTGTAGCTTTAGGTATAGCAACTTATGGCTGACTGAATCGAAGGCTTTGCAGAAGTCGAGGTAGAAACCTTCGACCTGCTGACCTTCATCCAACAACCTCATCCAAAAAGGTGAGCAGGTTAGTCGGGCACGATTTTCTCTCGATAAACCTATGCTGCGCTGGTGCCAAGAGGTTGTGGACGGTTAGGTGCTGACATATTTGCCCTCTGATGATTCGTTACAAGCATTTGAACAGAACCGATATCAGGCCAACTGGTAGGTAGTTGATCACCCTATGTATTTCATACTGAATTTTTTGAAAATCCTTCCGAACCCATAATGATTTATGGT